TCAGTGGCTCAAACTCACTAGCTGCTCCTCAGAAACCCTATACAGGGTCACCATCAGTCAGAACCAAGGTGAGACTTAACAACAATGTTTCAACTAAATTAGAGAGAAACCTTTAAAAAAAAAATCATTAAGATGATAGGATTAAGGGAGGATGATGGCAGCTGTTAAGGTTTTGAGTCATCTTGGCTCCTCAGTGGTTTAGCAGTTTGTAGTTACCACCTCCATGATGCTGTTCCGACTCATAGCCATCCTGCATAGGGTTTCTGAGGAGCAGCTGGTGGGTTTGAACTGCTGACCTCATGGTTCCCAGTCCAGTGCTAATCCCACAGCACCACACCAGGCGTCCTCCATGATGAGATCTAATATAATGCAATCACCCTATGTGTTCTGATCACCCCAGGTCTGATGTAATTATCATTTGTGTTGTAAATCCTCACTATTGATGCAAATGTGCAGGATTACATTGTATGTTGAGTTAATCTCATTTTACATATAAAAGGAGAGAGCCGTGAACTGAGAAGAGGGACCAAAAGACAGAAGTGGAGTGTGTCCTTTGAACCTGGGATCCCTGCACCCGTAAAGCTCCTAGATCCAGGGAAAGCATGACGCCAAGACTTGGAGAGATTTTCACTGAGTGAGGAAAGGAGACAAGATCTTCCCCTAGGCCCACTGAGAAAGCCTTCCCTAAAAGCTGGCACTCTGAATGTGGACTTCCAGCCTCCTAAACTATGAAAGAGTACATTTCTGGTTATTAAGGCCATCCACTTGTATTTCTGTTAGAGCAGTATTAGATAACTAAGATAATGACCAAATTGGAAAGATGCATTCTTTACAACCAAACAATAAAAATCAAAATATTGATTTTCCAAAGATACTGTTAAAAGACATTGTTTAAAGCACTGTGGGAAAAGCATCCAAACCTTACTAGCCAGTTAATGTTCTAGTAAATTCCTTGAGGTAAAATTGCCTAGAAAAAAACCGTAACAAAGTCAAGCAAGCATATCAGCCTTTAACCAACAGAATAATGCCAGAGAATGTTTTTAGAAACTCACTAAAGGGAAGATGACAGTATGCTACAAGAGGTCAGTGAAGATCTGACATAGCTCAGAATTTAAGGAAATACCCCATCTTTTATTATATTAGCACATGGTTGTAAGTGAAAACCAATATTCAAATCCAAAATATCTAATTTTAGTACTGTTAACTGCTGTTGACTCAGTTCCGACTCATAAAGATCCTATATAAAATTTCTGAGGAGCGGCTGGTGGGCTTGAACTGTTAACCAATGCTGATCCTATAGCGCCACACCAGAACTCCGTTTTAACACTAAGACAAGTTACTGATTTTGTCTTCTAGCATACTTTGCATACGCTGTAATTATTTCAATACTATTCTCTAGTTCCTGAGTATTCGAATTGTAAATATTTTTTCCCTCCATTATATTATATAAACTTTCGGATTTTGATTTTCCTCATTAATGAGGTGAGTTCTTCAAAATATCCTTGATGGGTAGACTAAGTTCTTTTTTGGGGGAACAGTTGCAAAACTAATTTCAATAGAAATAGGCAACTAGAGCTAACATACGGCCACATTTATGGGGACCCAACAGTTCACTGAGCCGATTCTAACTCATGGCAATACCATGTGCAGTGTACAACTGCTCCCTATGAGCCAACAGTCTTGTCTTGCAGTTAAGTGCTTAAGCATTTGTGCCACCCAGGTTGACTATTTAGTAAGCATCTAGTTTTCAGGGTAGAACTGTGGTTCCATCAAATGATTTGATACTGAAAACCTCAGTAACTCCTGCCTTGGCTGGTTCCTGACACAAAAGAAACCTACTTGAGGGAATTTAAGGAAAATGGGAAATTTGCCATGCATCTGGGCATCAGAAACAACTGGAGCTAGGGATTGAATGCTTCTGGCCTCTCTCCCAGCCATGAGTTGATTCCATTCCTTTAAAAGCAAACTGGCTAGGCTGCTAATCACCAACTCAAAACCCAGTCTTCCCATTAAATGAAACCCCAATTTTGCTTGGTAATATGCCCAATTATTTCTTGGCTTCCTTGTAGCCAGACACGATCATATGAAGTTCTGGCACAGACTTAAACTGAAATCTTTTAGGTAGGGCTTCTGAAAAATCTTTAAACACAGTTCATGTGCTGTTATGCCCTTCCTCCTTTTTATTGCTAGAATACAAACAGGATTAGCTGGAGCTGCAGCATACATCTTGCAAGGATGCCATAAGCCATGGAGTCCTGTTGTGGCTCTGTAGGATAAACACTGGATTGTTAACCTTGAGGTCAGCAGTTCAAATCCACATGTTGCTCCTTGGAAACCCTATATGGGGTTGCTGAGTTGAAACCAACTCAAGGGTATTTAACAAGTGTGACACTCACTGTAGAACAAGCACTGGACAATGAGGTCAGTTTCAACAAGAAAGTTGGGCGGTTCAAACCTACCAGCCACTCCTCAGAAGCCCTATACAGCATCATTAAGTCCAAACTGATTCAATGGCACTTAACATGAGTCCTGGTGTGGCACTCTAAGTCAAGCACTGGACTACTAACAGCAAGATCAGCAGTTCACACCCACCAGCCACTCCATGGAAACCCTATACAGCATTAATGAATGAAAACAACTCCATGGTACTTAACACAAGGAACATGGAGCATGGGTGAAACTGTGAACTTGTCTCACCAGCAAACCAGAGTTGATGGTTCCCCTCTGCGCCAAGCTGATGGGATATAAATCCAAGACAGAGCTGTTCCTCTAGAGCTAACAATGTAACTACTTAATATTTCACACCTGTTAAGTGCTGAGTTTGTTCCGAATCAAGGCCACCCTATGCAGGGTTTCTGAGCAGCTGATGGGTCTGAAATGCCGAACTTGTGGTTGGAAGTCCATTGCTAATCCTAAAGCACCACACTCTTACTATGCCAGAAAACATTACACATTATCCAATGCATATATGTGACAGAGGTTTTACAAGATTAGTTACCCAGCCATAGAAGATTTTAAGCTGTTTTCTGACTGTATCACCATAGTCCTATACTGGTTCCTGGCCTTGCTAAGAATATTAATTCAAAGATATGAGTACTCTTCATGGGGATTAAGTACAAAAAACAATTGGGGCCAACGAAAAACATTTAAGGTGCCAGCAGAATCTGAGGTTTCTCTGAGGTCTGAACAAATACTCATGCTGTAGAGCAATATGGTCAGTAATTATAGGGAGTTTTGATTTGAAACACGTGGTGGAAGGAAGGGGCGATGTGCTTATATGGGTAAAAATATAGGAAATAGAAACTGAAAAATGTTAACTGGAGACAATACTGATTCATCCAAGAAATTTGACTGAACAAGACATGGAGGTCCACAGGGTATTTACATCTGTATACATTAGGTGTAACAGAAGATATACTAGTATTTAACCAAATCCTGGTAAGATGAAAAATACTATTTTTTACATCAGATAAAACTGGATTTGAAATTTGCTACCCTTCGTTAAGGTGTTCAGTAAACAGTATACCCTTTCTGAACTTTTAGTTTCTTCATATGTAAATTTAAACAATGGCTTCATCTAGAATAACTTCATATAGAAATGTAATTTTGAGCACAGTGCTAAATAGATCTCATGGAATAAATAACAGCATGGAATTTCTTCTATTTAGTAGACATCGATTAAAAATTGTGTGCAATAAAGATTAAATTATTAGAATGGTGATCATTTTGTTTCCTAAAAGCTGCAGCTTCAATACTTCACCAACACCCTCACCACCTTCAACTATGCTTACAGTGAAGAATCGCATTTAGGGTGAAAGACAAACTTTTACTGAGTTTACTTAAATGGGTAAGTCCCTTAAACACAACCTAATTTTTATTCAATCCCACCATGTCAATATAGCACCAAACATTTTGGTACATTAAAAAAAAAAAGTGTTATTAGAAATAACTCTAAATTCTATTCTGACTAGGCTATGCCAAAAATAGTAAAGCATCTCTTGCAACACTGAAGCAGAGGTTGAAGACATCAAGCTGCTTGTTTTGTTTTTATTATAAAACATTATCTGCATTTCAAATAACATATTAACATTAACTGAACCCGCTTTTGGGTGTGGCGCTGTAGGTTAATGTGCCAGACTGAAAAACCGTTTGAACTGCAAGGTTGGCAGTTCAAGCTCACCAGCTGCGCCTTGGAAACCCTACACAGGGTCGTTATGGGTCGGAATCAACTCTATGGCACTTAACAACATATCAAAACATTGTCAGTGGTTGCTTTTTAGCTTCAAATTACCAAATTGGACAAAATTCCAACTGTAAACATCTTAATGTTTAGAAGTGTCTAACAATGTTTATCCCACTCCCTTAGAAGCATTACTCGCTGCCAATATTATTATTAATAAAACTTTCAAGTGACAATGGCAGGTTAGAAAATATGGCCATCAAGATTGTATCCAAGTTTAAAGATTTGAGTCTGAAACATTTTCCATTAGTTATTTTTTGAGATGGGTTTTTACCATAAGCCTCAATGTTTTACCCTGTAGAGTGTTTCCAAGACGCAGCTGATCAGTTTGAATAACCAACCTTGTGGTTCAAACCAACCTTGCAGTCCAATGCTTTATTCAACAGTACTATACCAGGACTCCTTAATTTCACATAGCTAAGAGAAACAAAAATAAACTTAAGACCCCAGGAGTCCAAATGAATCAGTTTCTACCCCATACCCTCCCCTACCACCACAGTCACAGTATAATCCAAAGGGAGAAACAAAACAAAGGTACCAAATGCTAAACTCAAATGAAGCTGAAGAGAAAGCACTTCATTCTGAGTATAACTCTGAAATGCTAGAAGTAAACTTTCACTAAAATATTACAATGGTATTTCATTTAATACAAGCTTAAATGACAAAATCATCCTTTTAGTTTGCTTCTCACCCAAGACTTCTAAGACTGACCAAATGCTGAAATTATTGGCAAAATGTATCTAAAAATGGTAAGACCAAGCATGGTAAAGACTGCTTTATTGGTGGCAGTTAGTACAAGTGAATAAATATTGATCCCAAAGAAGAGCTGCTATTTATCAGATTGCTGGTCCATAGAGCTCTGAATTAAACTGAACCAACTGCTGGAATGATAAATTGAAGTCAATCCTGCTTCTTGGGAAATGACGCCATAGCCAGCTGATATATGGCATACGCTGTTCCTGAAAAATAAAAACCAAACTTCAATTTAAATGTACAAACTAATATTCCAGTTTAAAAGTTGTACGACAAAGGCAAGGCCAACATTAAAACTACTTTATGAGAATACAAGAAAGAAGTTTTATAGATGGTGGCAACATTAAAAATATGCCTTAAAGTACATTAAATCTAGTTCTAATATTCATTACCTTCTAAAATAAGTGCTAACATGGCAAAAGAATACATTTTGTCAACTGATCAAAATAAGAATGCCTGAAAAATGCTAAGAATGAGTCAAGACAAAAGTATGAAAGCCTTCCCATAAAGTCATTGACAATGCAAAACAAATAAAAGTGATATTCTTTTAAATAATCAAATTAATGTAAGACTAGCTAATAGTTAAAATTTTATTATTATAATAAATTATCAGCATATCTAAGAAATAGTCACATTTGGTCAAAAAAGATTTTAGAACTTTATTTGATTAAGAAAAGTTTAAATGAAATGTGTCTTGATGTATAAATGCCACTTCTACTTTGTTGCTATGGTTGCTGTTGTAAGTATTGTCGAGTCGCTTCTGACTCATAGCGCCCCTGTGTAGGATTTCTGAGGAGTGACCGGTGAGTTTGAACCATCGAAAATATGGTTTAAACCGACCCTGCAATCTAGTGCATTAACCTGCAACATCACAGAGCCCTCAAGCTAGTTCCAGGCTCATAGCGACTCTGTACAGATTTCCAAGGAGCATCTGGTAAGTTTGAACCATTGACCCTGTTGTTAGCAGTCCAATGATTATCCTACAGTACCATACCATGATCGTATTCGATTCAAACCAAAGAAGGCACCTCATAATAAAGAGGAATCTTGTAATAAGAGTTCAATTTGCAACTTTTCCAATTAGAAGCATTATGTTGGATAATTAACATAACTTCCTCATCTTTAAAATGAGTATATCTCATGGACCTATGCAAAAGTTATGTGGCATTCCAACTACCAATAGGGTGAACACACAGTAATCATGCAAATATTATTTCTCTCCTACCCCAGGGAGTAAATATCTAATTCTGCTTCTACTACCCCCAATTATAATTTTTCCCTGCTAAAACAGAATGCACCTACCTAATCCACAAAAACAGGTAATATCCAGCAAAGCCTCAATTTTAAGTCTTTGTGCCATACAAATGCTGGCAAAGTTTATCAATTCTATTTTTTTAGCACATTACCAAAGAATACCAATTAAAAACGCAAACTGGCCTATATATCACACCCCTTCTGCGGCCCTTGTCACTGTCTACTTCCTCTAGTATAGCCAGGCTCTCTGGGGCGATAGTTCTAGCCTAGCCTGATCACCTCCGGGTCATTCAGATCTCACCAGAAATGCCACTTCCTCAGAGGTCTTTTCTCAGGTCAATCCATTCCTCTTACTATACTACATCATATCACCTTTTTATGTTATCTGAAAAGAAGCACTTGTCATTATCTTAGGCTTTTATTTATTACCTATCCTCTGGTGTGGGGCTGTGATCAGCACTGGACTGTAAACCACAAGGCTGGCAGTTCAAACTCACCAGCTGCATCTCGGAAACCCTATTCAGGGTCACTGAGTCAGAACCAACTTGATGGTACTTAACAACAACAAAACATCAATCAATGTCACTGGATTTTTCAAAATGTTCTGGTATGGCAGTGTGGGCTAATGCGTCAGACTGCAAAGTCGTTTGAACACAATTTTGATATAAAATGTGTTATCGTGATTGCAGTCAAATGTTTTTAAGCCTCTGCTCTAAGAGGTGAAGCAGAACAGTATTAGACTTGATGTGCTTGGCTGATAAAATAGTCTCTGGCGCCATTAAGAGCATAGTCTACCAGAATCATAATCAAATTTCATTGCTGTATATTTTCTAAAAAGACTTTACGACGTTACTATGCATATGCTCCAATTTTCCTCTTACATCCTTACATAACAAGCAGTAAGATCTCTGATTCTGGAGAAGGCTGCCTAGGTTAAAATAGCTATAAAGCAATGGAGGTGTTAGTTATTACTATTACTTTTCTAGAAAGCTTCAAATATTCCAAAATATCTTACCACCAACTGTAAGAATCATGGTGGCTCTATACAGGAGGGCATCAGCTGCCCCACCTTTTAGATGCACTGGAATTCCATTATCCTCCTAGGAAAGAACATTAATAGATGAATATTCGTTTCTAAAGATTTAAGCTTCCAAAGAAGAATCCACTCATATAAAATTAAATAATCACCATAGGCCCTGGAATTAAAATTTAAATATCAAAACCAAAAAGATGTGAAATTTTCCTGATTCTTTCTCTACAACTTATATTAAAATAGGAACTCCGTTGTTATATAAAAGATCATTTGAGATCCAATAAAGATGCTCTTTCTAAGGAATATATAAACTATAAAACTGTGAAAATATTCTTACTTGCCTATTTTAACACTATAATTTTTTACCAGTCTAAAAAGGAAAAGAAATGGTTTGTTTTATTAATTTGCATTAATATAACAAGGTCCATACACTTCTGAAGGCAGTCTGTTTCCATCTCTCTAAGCACCACACCCCCACACACTTCTCCAACCCTGACCCCAAAATCTGCACTTTGATCTACACATCAAAATGGCAAGTTTGGCATCAAATTCTGTTCTTTTTAAATGTTCTTTGAGTTTTGGGATACAAAGAGAAATCTGAAAGAGCAAGACCAGAGCTGTAGAGTGGATGAGGTAAGGTTTTGCTATCCTTTAAGAATGAGCAGACACACTGCTGTGATGGAAAAGAATTTCTCCGTACAACATCACTAAGCTTTTACTCACCAATTTTTCAATTTTCTTAAAACTTTTTTTTATAGTAAGTCCGTGATTGCCCTGTATTCTTTGAGAACAATCTATCATGATTACTCTTTTGTAATCCCCACAAAGGTTACCATAATCTTCCGAGCTGACCTCTGCCTTGAATTTACCTGCCCCAGCAGATTATTACTATGAGTAATTGTAGTTTTCTACACTGGAATGTTAACCACAGCTAACTTCAAGGTTGGTGGTTCAAACCCACCATTACTCTTCGGAAACTATACAGGGTGGTTATGAGTAGGAACCTATTTGATAGCATTTAACATCTGCTTATGATCCCCCAAAACATACTGCCATCGAGGCATAGGCACGTAACAGGATTTCTGAAACTAAATCTTTATAGGAGCAAACAACCTGATATTTCTCCTGTGGACCCCACTGATCAGTAACCCATGTTTAAACATGCTTGTTTAAAATAAACCTGTGCATGCATGAAGTAGAACCCTAACAGCAATACTTTTGATTTACCCTTACATATATTTGTTTCTAGGCTCTTTATTTTTTCCTTTGTTATCTACTTGCTTACTGTTGAACTCCAACTCAATGTAATTCCTCCAGAGAGTATGACCTTGACCAATACCCTTTTCCTTCATTTCATTTTCTGCTTTTCCAAGTCCTCTTGCATATAGAAAATGCCCAAATAGCTATCAACTGATAGTTTCTGATTATTCTTTTGCAATAGAAGCACTAACAGACATCTCCAAATTTACTTCGTATCTCCACCTTTTGGAAATCTGATTACAAGTAACAATTTCCTATGAAATATTTCAGTACCTGAAATAGCTTTTGTTTCTCTGGAACTTTATTTTCAAATGGTCTGCGTGAAGCAGTACTTATGGTCCTTTGGGCAATCTGACGAAGAGCCTAAAAGGAAAATGAATACACATTAAGCAAATGTTGTACCTAAAGAAAACGGAATATTCAGTCATTTCCAATCTTTTCTATTACACACATCAAGAAGAAAGCACCTACAGCTGTCGAGTTACGTCTGACTCATAGAGACCCTAAAGAGCAGAGTAGAGGCTCTAAATCTTTTCATGCTGTAAGCCACATCTTTTTCCTGCCGAGCAGCTGTGTGGTTCAAACCACAGAACTTTCAGCTAACAGCCCAGGGCTTAACCCATCACAGAAGAGGGAACTGAGACTTACAGAACATCTGATTTGCCAGTAGCAAAGTTATGAACCAGCATCTAGGTTTTCCAATTAGTAATCCAACCACTGCTCTTTATACATTTATATATTACATTCTATAGTCTCCAAAGGCCACATTCAGTAGGCAATTCATGCAGATTCTGACCAAACAACAACAAAATACAAAACCCACATAATAATCTTTAATTGAACTAGCATCACTGTATAATCCTTGCAGAGAACATAAAGATGGAGAATACAGAAATAAAAAATGGTTATCCAAACTAAGCTTGAACCTCATGATTCCTAATTAAACCGCTCCCTCATTACATTTTCCTAAAGTCTTTTTGGTGGTGGTGGTAGTATACCCTGGAGTCGGTTCCGACTCATAGCGACCCTGTACAGGATTTCCGAGGCTGTAAATCTTTACTGGAGCAGAAAGCATCATCTTCTCCCGCAGAACGGCTGGTAGTTTCGAACTGCTGACCTTGAGGTTCGCAACTCGATTTGTAACCACTACACTACCAGAGCTCCTCTGTTGCTGTTGTTAAGGGAAGTCGAGTCGGTTCCAACCCAAAGAGACCTTGTATAGGGTTTCCAAGGAGCTGCTGGTGAGCTTGAACCGCCAACCTTGCAGTTTAAACGGTTTTAATCCACACAGTCTGGCACATTAATCCACAGCTCCACACCAGGACCAGAGCTCCTTAGTATAAATCATTTTTTAAAACACTGTATTATATCCAGTTGAATTAAATAACGAAACAAATAGTACATACAGTCCATGTTCGAAGACAAATGTTGTTGTTGTTGTTAGGTGCCGTCGAGTCGGTTCTGACCCATAGCGACCCAGAACAGGGTTTCCAAGGCTATAAATCTTTACGGGAGCAGAAAGCCTCATCTTTCTCCCCCAGAGCAGCTGGTAGTTTTGAACTGCTGACCTTGTGGTTCGCAGCCACTACACTACCAGAGCTCCTTCGAAGACAAATGCCAGAAGCTAAATAAAGTGCTCTTAAATAATTACAAAAAAAAAAAAAAACCATTACGGTTTTTGGTTTGTTCTTTTTTCCACCCCGAAAGCCTGACAAAGTATTTCACATGTTCCTCCTTGGAAACCCTATACAGGGTCGCTATGGGTCGGAATCCACTCGACGGCACTTAACAACTGAATAAATCGGTGGAGGAGTGAAGGGCACAGCCAAACCACCTCCTAGAAGCAGTATAGATTTTCGGTCATGATTCCCTAAATCCATTCCAAAACTGAACTGGCTCATTAAAAGGCTTTCTGATATCTGCACTGATCTGAAGGGTCAGACCCATTGAAACTTAAAACCTTTTAGCAGCACCAAGGGAACACGTTTCTACCTTTTGCTTCCAGGTGTCAGAAATTCACCCCCTGGAGCTTGGTTTTATTGGGATCTGAGCTAACCTCATCCAGAAAACTAGCCGGTAGTGGAGACAAAGACGCCAAGGCTAGTCTAACCTAAACGCACTTTCCCATCCTCTCCATTCCCTGTATTTACTCAGCAGGCCTAGGGGGGTAAGAACTGTTGGAAGGGAAAGGTAAGGTCAAGCGAAAAGGACGCGGCCCAAGGTGACTTCAGAAGATGCCTCCTAACCACTGCCAGGAGAGGTATCTCTCTTGTGGCCCAGTACGTCTTGGCCCAGTCTCGCCCGCTGTCACGAATGCAATCGGGGAAACTCACCAACAGATTCCGCAGCATATTGGCTCTGTTTCTCCCACCAACGGCTAAAAGTGAACACCAGCAACGCTGAGTCGCACCGGAACCGGAACTACCTTCTTGGCTTTGCGCAAGCGTCAAGGAACAAAAACTTTTCCGGGCGGAGGAAGCTTGCGCAGCTACGGGAGGGAAGGCGAAAGCCACTCTAGCAGGCTGCCGTTTGTCACGTGATCCACTTTCGGTTGCCTTTGAGGCGACAGTTCCCGGAACTCAGGCTAGAGAAGAGAAAACGCTTTTTGAAGCACAGAGGTGGTGTGGGTTACTCTGCTGGACTGCAAGATCGATTTGAACTACAAGGTCGGTGGTTCAAGCTCACCAGTCGCTCCCCGGAAACCCTATACAGGGTCGCTAAGGAGCTCTGGTAGCGTAGTGGTTACCAGTCGGGCTGCGAGCCTCAAGGTCAGCAGTTCGAAACTACCAGCTGTTCCGCGGGAGAAAGATGAGGCGTTCTGCTCCCGTAAAGATTTACAGCCTCGGAAACCCTGTACAGGATCGCTATGAGTCGGAACCAACTCCACGGCACACAACAACAACATGTGTCAGAACCTACTCGATGGTACTTAACAAGTTTAGATTAAATCATAGGAAATTAGAGTATTGTGAGCAAGCAAGCGTAAAACACTGAGCAACCTTAGAACTTTTGGAACATCAGTGCTTCCAGTTATAGGCAGAAAAAAAGTGTTAACCGAAGTATAGCTGTGAGACTGGATGAAATAAACAAAAATAACTCCTGTTACATAAATACAGTTTTTCCACCGATGAAACTGTTGTGGGGCGTTATTGTTCCTTGTGAGTGTGATGAAAGAGCAGCATCCGGATACGAACTTTTTATCTCCTTGTACTTTATGACCGCAGAACTTCCCATGCAAGAAGCTCTTCCACAGTGTCCTAAGGTGGTGGAAGCTGTTCGCTCATCAGGGAAAACGCTGAAAAGTGGGGAAAATTTTTAACTGAGGACAAAAAATGGGATGAACAAACAAACACGCTCAACAATCATGTTTTCCTGTCTAGCTCAACAAGGTACTACATGCCATAGGTGATTGTACAGACGCAATAACCTTTTATCAGTCTGGCATAAATCATTCCACAATGCAAGTGTCTTTATTCCCTGGCCACCACACAATGTTTACAAATGGTAACAAAAATCACTACACCAGGCTTTTACCTGTTTTACAAATTCTTACCAACATTTCATTATGCAACTTCAAATTGAAAGCTGGTAATAATATTGTTGTTAAATGTCGTTGAGTAGGGTCCAACCCATAGCGAAACTGCATAGGGTTTCTGAGGAGCAGCTGGTGAGCTTCAACCGTCAACCTTGCAGTTTAAACGGCTTTGCAGTCCTGCGCATTAACCCACAGCACCACACCAGGACTCTGGTGATACATGGAGTTCAGCAAAAATAGGTGGAGTTCTGGTGTGGCGCTGTGGGTTAATGCACAGGATTGCAAGGTCGGTGGTTCAAGCTCACCTATACAGGGTCACTATGGGTCGGAACCGACTCGATGGCACTTAACAACAACAACAATCCTTCGGGGATTTTTGATCCCAAATTCTTGTCTTCCGCAAAGTTGATCAATGCTCAATAGCTTCTTAGATTGAGATCGAAAGGCCCTGGGTTTTTCCTGTTAAGCAATGTAACCAAGTCCTTTAACACAATTATGAGGTACCTACCAATAGATGGGACATGGAGATTTTTAGAAAGTATATACAATTTGAATTTCACATTGAATGTGCTATTCATTTAGCCAACATCTCAAAAACAGATGCTGAAATTTTATTAATCGCTGCTGTTGTTAAGTGCTGTCTAGTCATTCTGACTCACAGTGAACCTGTATAGGGTTTCCAAGGAGTGGCTGGTAAGTTTGAACCACCAACCTTGCTACTCAAACAGACCTTGCGGTCCAGTGCATTATTCTACAGTACCAGTACCGGCACTGCTTAAAAGGGGCGATCACTAAATAACAGCTGGATTAATGATATTCTAGGAGATGGGTCCAGGAAACATAAGATTCTAAAAAGAATCAAGAATTCACTTTAAATAGATCCTAATCCTGGTGTGCATTGTGGGATCATCACTAGACTGAGAACCACAAGGACGGCAGTTCAAACTCCCTAGCTGCTCCTCAGAAACCATATACAGGTCACTGAGACAGAACCAATTCAATGGCACTTACAACAACAGCCAACAGTACATATGTGGTGAAAGTCCTGGTGTGGCACTGTAGCAATGGACCATAAGATCTGTTTGAGCAACAAGGTTAGCAGTTCAAACTCACCTGGCGCTCCTTGGAAACCCTATACAGGTGTCACTATGAGATGGAATTGACAACAGCACAAAGCAACACCAACAACAGTGTATATGTAGATTCATGGTGTAGCACTGTAGGATAAGCACTGGACTGCTAAACCACAAGGTTAGCAACTCAAACCCAAGAGCTGTTCCTCGAAAACCCTATGCAGGATCACTTAGTAGGAACCAACTTGATAGTAGGAACCAACTTAACAACAATGTATATGTGGAGTCCTTGTGTGGCACTGTAGGATAAACACTAGACTGTTAAGTATAAGGTTGGCCACTCAGACCACTGGCTACTCCTTGAAAACCCTCTACAGAGTTGCTATGAGTCAAAACACACTCAATGGCACATAACATTATATGAAAATCCTAATGTGCATGTCGGAGTCCTGGTGAGGAACTGTAGGATAAGCACTGGAATGCCAACCACAAGATTGGCAGTTCTAACCCACCAGCTGCTCCATGTAAACCCTTGTACAGGGTTGCTGAGTAAGAACCAACTTTAACAACAACAAAATGTGTGTGTCACTTTTTGTTAGGTGCCGATTCAGTCAGTTCTGACTCATAGTGACAGTATGCACAACAGAACGAAATACTGCCCAGTCTTGTGTCATCCTCACAATTGTCATGCTTGAGCCCCATGTTGCTGCCACTGTTCCAGTCCATCTCATTGGGAATTTTCATTGTTTTGAATGACCGTCCATTTACCAAACATGATATCCTTCAGGGACTGGTCCCTCCTGATAACATGTCCAATGTATGAGAGACAAGTCTTGCCATCCTGGCTCTTAAGGAGCACTCCGGTTGTACTTCTTCCAACACAGACTTGTTTGTTCTCCTGGCAGTCCAGAGTACCTTCAATAGTTTTCTCCAACACCACAACTCAAATGCATCAATTCTTCCACATTCTTCCTTATTTATTGTCCAACTTTCACATGCATGTGAGGCTACTGAAAATACCAATGTCTTGGATTAGGCACACATTACACCTCAAGCTGATTTCTTTGCTCTTGAACACTTTAAAGAGGTTCTGTGCAGCAGATTTGCCTAAGGCAATATACCATTTGATTTAGTGGCTTCTGTTTGCATGAGTGTTGATTGTGGAGCCAAGCAAAATGAAGTCTTTGACAACTTCAATCTTTTTTCCAGTTGTGAAGAATTCTGTTTTGTTTACATTGAGGTGCAATCCATACTGAAGGCTGTGGTCATATTATCTGCATATTGCATGTATTTAATGAGTCTTCCTCCAATCCTGATTCCATGTTCTTCCTCATATAATCCAGCTCTCAGTTTATTTGCTCAGTATATGGATTGAACTGCATGGTCGAAGAATAAAACCCTGACACACACTTTTCCTGAATTTAAACCACTCAATATCCCCTTGTTGTGTTTTAACAATTGCCTCCTGGTCTATGTACAGGTTCCTCATGAGCATAATTAAATACTCTGGAATACTCATTCTTCACAATGTTATTCATAGCTTGTTATGATGCATAGTCAAAAGCCTTTGCAGAGTCAAAAAAGCACAAGTAAAAATATGTTTTGTATTATCTGCTTTCAGTCAAGATCCATCTGACATCAGCAGTAATATCCCTATTTCCACATTCTTTTTGACTCTTCTGGCAGTTCTCCATCAATGTACTGTTGCAGTGGTTTTAGAATTATCTTCAACAAAATTTTGCTTGCATATGATATTAATAATATTGTTTGATGGTTTCCATATTCTGATGTGTCACCTCTCTTTGGAATGGGCACAAATATGGATCTCTTCCAAACAGTTGGCCAGGTAGCTTTCTTCCAAATTTCTTGGCATAGACAAGTGAAATGCCTTTGTATCACCAAGGCCTCCAGTGCTGCAACAGTTTATTGAAAGATTTCAATTTGTATTCCGTCAATTCCTGGAAACTTGTCTTTTGCCAACGCCTTCAGTGCTGTTTCAATGCTCTCTTGAAGTGGATGAACATCGGCCATTTCTTTTTGGTACAGTGCCTCTCTGTATTCCTTCCATCTACTTTGTATGCTTTTGATATTATTCATTATTTTGTCCATTTGTTAAGTGCTGTCGAGTCAGTTCCAACTCCAAGTGACCCTGTGTGGGGTTTCCGAGGAAGAGCTGGAGGGTTTGAATTGCTGATGATTCAAATTCCAGTGCTGATCCTACAGCACCACACCAGGAGTCCATATTTTGTCCATAATCCAATATTGTGAGTTGAAGCTTGAATTTTTTTTCTTCAGTTTATTCAGCTTGAAAAATCCTTAACGTGCTCTCCCCTTTTGGTTTTCTAATTCCAAGTCTTTGCACATTTCATGGTAATACTTGACTTTGTCTTCTTCAGCTGTCCATTGACATTTTCTGTTCAGTTCTTTGACGTTCTTGTTTCTTCCATTTGCTTTAGCATTTCTACACTGGAGAGAAAATTTCAGGGTTTCTTCTGATGTCCATTTTGGTCTTTTCTTTCTTTCCTTTTTAATGACCTTTAGCTTTCTTCCTGTATAATGTTCTTGATGTCATCCCACAGTTCTTTTGGTCTTCGGACATTAGTGTCTAATATATCAAATATGTTCTTGAGATGGTATCTAAATTCAGGTGGGATATGTTCAAGGTTATATTTTGACTCTCACAGACTTGTTTTAATTTTTTCAGCTTCAGCCTCAACTAACATATGAATAATTGATGGTCTGTT